GGCTCTTCTCACTTCCGGCTCCGCCTGCCCCAGGGCTTTATGGGTAGGGCAGAGCTACAGGACAACCTCCTGAGCGCTTCCTCTCCGCTCTCCCCTCTGGTGTTCAACTGACACTGTGTCCCTTGCTTTTATATAAACACTATCATAAAAAGTGCTTTCATCACTTACCTGCTCAAACTATAAACCTATGTCCTTAATATAAACTACTTCCAATTAATGAGACCATGCATTCTAGATGTTAAATGAGTTTTTTGCACTTACCTTAACAAGGCATTTAAAACTCTGCCTCACTCAGTGTTTGCACCCCAGGGCCAGGAAGATTCTCCTTTAGTGTATGCCACACTTCAGGTATTCTCTGAAGATTTCTCTTGAAATCTTTGGTCCAAATTCCCGTTTCTATAGCCAGACCTTTCCTAACAATTTTCTTTCTTTAAATTTTAAGCCCAAGATTCAATTCAAGATTTCAACCAATTTAACTGGGTCTGGGCAGTTGAGTCTGAGGTGTTCTGAAGGCAAGGATTTTGATAGGGCCTTAAAGTGATGACTTTTTCCACACAGTTGAAAGTATCAGAAAACCTTGTGCTGCAGGTGAAGGCAGAATATGGCTATACAGGAGTTATAAGTTGCTGAATAACACAGTGTCCACAATCTTGGTGGCACAAGAGGACAAACATTATCTCACTTTCTGAGTTAGTGGTCTGGAGGCGGCCTCTTGAAGGCCTCTGACCTCTCTCACAAGGATGCAACCAAGGTATTGGCCAGGCTGAGTGACCTCGAAGCTCAGCAGGGGAAGGCCAGTGAGGACACTAAGTGTGCTGCTGCAGGCCTCCTGTTGTGGGTAAATGAGTATCTTCTGTCTACAGGGTCGCTTGCAGCATGGCATGGGCTTTTCTCAGTGGGACAAGTACCCAGGGCAGAAGGCAGGTCTTTGAAACCTAATTTTGGAAGTGATGTCCTGTCACTTGTGCCACACTCCACTCACTAGAAGCAAGATACTAAATCTAGCCCAAGCTCAAGGACACTGCTTAAGGCTGAGCATACCTGGAGATGGGAGCCAAAGATGGTTATCATGGATGCATGGCTTTTTAGGGGGCTTGGGGGTGCTGGGGACTGAACCCAGGGCTTCCCATGTGTTAGGTAAGAGCTCTACCACTGAGCTACCTCCCCCAACTCCTGCACAGCTCTTTTACAGTCTCGATTTTTAAAATTTACCTACAGCAACTTGTACTGGACCGACTGGAATAGAGATGCTCCTAAAATTGAAACATCTTCTTTAGATGGAGAAGACAGAAGAATTTTGGTTAATAATGACATTGGATTACCCAATGGCTTAACTTTTGACACCTTCTCTAAACTGCTGTGCTGGGCAGATGCAGGTAATACTGATGAAATACTTGATAGCAGATTCGAAGACAAATTTTACTATAAAACTCCATCTATCATTTAGATCTTGATTTGTTTATCCCAGCAAAGCAAATCTATTTAATCTGTAAAGTTTGAAAGAATTTTTTAATGGTTCTTCTAACTTTTGGAATTGGGTAAGGGGAGGTTGGAATTAGGCATGAAGTCTGTGGAGTTCACCTTGCCCAATGTGAGCACTTGGTGTACTCGCATTTAAAAGTGGAGTAGCCGCTACTGAATTCACCAAGTTAGATCAACAGAGGTTGTTTTGTCTTTTGGGCCGTTACTTTACATGTTATGTTGCTGAGGACATTCTTTGAAAAGCCATGTCAGTCAGAATAGCTTGTAATACATGGAACACCTGGGTTTATATGTTGTGTACTTTTCATCATTAGAATACAGTAGTATCTCAGCTTACCAACACTTTTGTTTGTGAACAATTTGGTTTGGCAAAATTTTTTGTTTGTGAGCTCTGCATCAGGTGACGAACATGACCATGACCATCTTTTCCAGAATTCTGGAACAAATTCAGTTCATGAACTGAGGCACCACTGTAACTAAAAAGATGCTGTGACTGATTCTACTCAAGTATATGAAAGAGTTCTTGAATTTATAATTAACAAAAAGGACTATAATGTGTGGCATTTTTTTGATACAACTGTCCAACTATAAGCATTTGAAATATTTATCTATAAATATCAGAACTTGGAAACATTGGTTTAGCCATTGCAAATTTTTCAAGATTGCTTCCTTTACACTGAAAAATAGCCATGTTATCATTATAGTTGCTTTATTTTTACCTAGAAATAATTTTTTTAAATTGAAAATTTTGGTTAAGATTGCTTTGGCCACTATATATTGCTTTACAAAGGTCAAGTATTTACCTAGATGTTCATGACAATTTCAAGGCTGAAGTTTGAAATTATATAAACTCTAAAAATACTTGTGTTAATTGGAAGAAACCTAGTCAGACTTAAGATGTAACCAATTCTTAAAAAGAATTAAGTTTCAATTTCCATTAGAGAATGTTACTGAACTAGAGACAAGTATTGGAACAGGACATTATAGTTGCTAATTTGTGTGGCTGAGATTGGAATGTTTTTTTTTTTTTCCCCTGCCTGTTTTCCTCGAGAATCTCGTTATTTTTGGCACAGTAGCTTTTGTTGTTTTCTGCGTGGCATGGAAGGGACTCATTTTTCCCTTCTGATGTTTAAAAAGGAACCAAAAAACTGGAGTGTACACTACCTGATGGAACTGGGCGGCGCGTCATCCAAAGTAACCTGAACTACCCCTTCAGCATCGTTAGCTATGCAGATCACTTCTACCACACGGACTGGAGGAGGTGAGTCAGGCAGACTGGGCTGGAGAGCACATTATTCATTTAGCAAATTCAACTTGGTCATTGAGCCCTCTGCTGAGGTTTTATCTCATCAGTAGGTACATTAAAGGCTTACTACTTTTGAAATCATGTATGTACTGTTTTTTACACAGAAATTTAATAGTGTTGCTCACAGGTAGCTGAAAGGGGGCAAAGGTGCTTGATAATAAACTATCCAAAAAAAGGAAGCACATTTAAAATAATCTGTTCTCCAAAGAGATTACTCTCAACTGGTGACTGGTACCTGTCAGGAACATTATCTGGGCATGGGATTTGGGTTGTTCTTAACCCTGCAGAGGTCTTGGGTGTTACCCTTACAGTAAAAGTTTGTTGGGCCGGGATTTAGCTCAGCGGTTCAGTGGCCTGCCTTGCAAGCGCAAGGACCCAAGTTCAATCCCCGGTACCAAAAAAAAATATGGACTGTCTACCTAGGAGACTGAAAACTCTATTTAGACTTGGTCTCTAATAAGGATCTGAGGAACAATTTGAAAAAATGAAAATCATAAGTCCTTCTACCTATTCCCTACAATTTTAACTGGTTTGGCATGAGGCTCAGGCATCAGTCCTTTAACAGATGCTCATGTGATTCTGCAAGCAGCCAGAATGAGGACAACCAACAGAAATTAGTACTTGTTTTCAGTGTGGTACCATGATCTCCCAAAGGCTTACTGAAGCTTACTGCTGGGTTCCACCCCAGCTTCTAGTGAGTAGGTTTAAGGGGACCTTGAAACTTGCATATCCTGTCAAGTTCCCAGGTGACTACGGTCATGGGACACCTTGAGGACCACTGGTAGTACACAGGTTTTCTGGAAGTCAAAACTCTTGGTTAAACCGATTTTAAAAATGTACTGTGGAAGGCTGGCAGAGATTTTTCTCTACTGAAATTTTGCTACGTAAAAAACCTTGTATCTTCTGTTTACCTAGTGACTAACGTTCCATTCACTCACTCTTCCTTTCTGTTACCAGGGATGGTGTTATATCAGTAAATAAAAACAGCGGCCAGTTTACTGATGAGTATCTCCCAGAGCAGCGATCTCACCTCTACGGGATAACTGCGGTCCATCCCTATTGCCCACCAGGTACAGACGGGCATTGGGACTAGCCTTTGGATTAGTTAGCAGGGTACAGAAGGGATTGACGCTAACTCATTATCTCTGCTACCACCGACAGTGCTACCACTATCATCTTTACTACTGAGCTTACTATACACAAAATAAAAGACTTGTTTCAACTCAGAGAATATTCACCACTGCCCTCTTCCCTCACAGGAAGAAAATGAATTCCGCAGTATAAAGAAGGACCTGATGTTTACAAGAATTCTGACCCTAAAGAACATTTACTGCAAAGGAAGAAAGTAAAAAAGAAATTAAGTCATTAGAGGTTCCTGGACATACAAGACGAACATTTTCAGTGCAAAAGGACTAAGTATATTTTGTGAAAAATTTATACCTCAAATCTTTACTACTGTATTTTTAAAAAACAAGTTATTACTTCACGTTCTTTAAAAAGGTCATTTTAATAGTTGCTTGTTAAAAGCAACATTTTGTAAACATATTTAAAAGGCCAAATTCATTCAAGAACCAATTAAGAACTTAAGAACCTGAATCTAATTTTTGCTATGGATTCCTTCTGTCCAAGAAATGAAAGCATGTGTGTTCAGTACGAAAATATAAGCTTGAATACCATCACTGTTGATGTAGTTAGAGAAGGTTATGCAGAACTGACGGGAAAGAACCAACTTACACTTCCCACCAGAAGTTCTAAGTTCTCTTACCTCTGCATCGGTGCATTTCTATTTATATTACAAGGTGCTACAATGATTCAATTTGTATTTTCTGATCCCATAAGTGCCTCACAGAAGTAGCCACAGGTATTACATTTATAAATACCAAAGAGTAGCCATTCTCAAATTTTCTACATAATTGCAATAAAGTATTTTAAATTTTTCTATGACTTAAAGATTTAAATTGTCTCTGTGACTAAGCCAGGGACTGGTATACACCTTTACCATAGAGGAAGCACTATTCATATAAATATGTAACAATACACTGTTTAAAAGAACCCCAAACTCCACTTTCTTAAACTTTATTAAAGAAAAAAGTAATTGTGGTGGTAAATCTCTAGAGCATAGTCAATTTTCTGGGATTCCTCCCTCCTGTGGTGGTAAATCTCTAGAGCATAGTTAATTTTCTGGGATTCCTCCCTCCAAAATGAGATTTGATTTCCAAATACATGCCAGAAGTATATAGTTCCCAACTGTACTAAGTAAGGTGAAATCTACAGTATTCATCTTCCAACTTTCCCTAGTCTGTGGTCTGTCTTTGGATCAGCAATAATTGCCTGAACAGCTACTATGGCTTCATTAATTTTTGTCTGTAGCTCTCTGAGTTCTTCTATATGCAGCAATCGCAGAATTTGAGCAGCTTCATTAAGAACTGCATCTGTTTTATAAAAAAAGAACATTGCGTTAATACATGATTTTTGTAACATTTAATTTCCCAAGTATTTACCAAGTCTTTTAAGATAGTCTGAATTAAAACAAAATCACTTACCTCCTGTGTCAAAACCAAGAATATGTTTGTCTAAAGCAACAGGCAAACCCTTAAAAAAAAAAAAAGGCAAGATGAGACTATAGTTAAGAATACCATTCCTATTTCATCTGAAACTGTGAAAATCAAACTAGCTAGTTTAACTCTTAGGAAGAATGGGCAGGAATCTAAGAATTTGTTGTTTCAACCTGACTTGTGGTAAGAAAGTTTTCTCCTATTAAAGTCAGTTATTAAAAGTGGCCTTTAAAGAAACTATAGAAACTTCACAAGCACATGGAAACTGAACAACACTCTCCTAAACAATCAATGGATTACAGAGGAAATTAAAGAAGAAATTAGACAGTTTTTACAAATAAATGAGAATGCCAATACAACATACAGGAATCTTTGGGACACAATGAAAGCAGTTCTACGTGGAAAATTCATAACATTGAATGCCCACACTAGGAAAACAGAGCGGGCTCAAATAAACAACTTAACGATGAAACTTAGACTCCTAGAAAAACAAGAGCAAGAAAAACCCAAAGCTCGAACAAGAGAGGAAATTATAAAGATCCGAGCAGAAATCAATGCAATTGAAATTAAGAAA